TCACGAGATTGCTTACGTGGCGCTTAGGTAGTCGCCGCTAACGGAAGTTTTTTTCTTGTCGAGAGATACCCTTGGGAGAAAAAAAAAAGCGAGACAGTATAAGAGCGCAAAGAAGCGGTGTGCAAGGTGTGCAAGGAACGAGAAACTCTGGAGAAAGTGGTGAGTTTGTGTAATGGTAAGCTGGTGTGCAAGAAACTAAGAAACTAAGTTGCTGGCGGTGTAGTGATCATTACGTGGTTTTTTAATTTCTTCGAGTCGAAATTGACAGTTAAGCGTTAGATTGCCATCTCGGCTTTGCTTGCTTCCTTTTTTTTTCTTCTTTTTTTTCAACAGTTTCGAAAAACTATTTTATTTTAAATCTCAGGTGTAGCTTATTTGGAAGATATCAACATCGTAGGAGTTGAAAGAAAAAAGAAGGTAAATTCGTCATAAGTTACCAGAGCTTGTTAAACAGCTGCGAAGAATTAGGATATAAATTGGAAAATGAACAAAAGCTGTCCTTAGTAATGCGTCTGTATACTGAGCACAATTTTTGAACAAGATTCAGTGGGTGTGTTTCAGCTATGAGTGCACTTCAAGGTGGAGGGCATTAAAGCCAGTCCGACTGTTCTAATATTAATTTTGTTTGTTTCACTTTCAGCCGTATTCAGTACAAATTTCTTCTGATGTGATCCCAGCGATCAATTCCTTGGAATTAGCTTTTGTGGTCTCTACCTCACTCCAGTTGATGTCAGGAGTAGGTTTTTGTGAGAGCAAATAGGAATCTCCTTATTACTACGGACCTGGTTTTAATTACCACTTTTCAAGCTGCTTTCATAGGTAACTGAAACTTAAATTACTATATGAACAAACAATACCTAGTGAGCTTTCGCGCAAAAAATTACATCTTCTCACGTGAAGATAATATGTTAAAATATCATGTTAATATAAAAATCGCGCCTTTCAATGTACAGCCTTTGATTTATTATTATTTATTTATTATTGATTTATATACAATATATAGAATTTTACATGGTCGCTTAGAGATACCAAAGTTCTATTCTCGTGTTGAAAAGTATTTCTACACGAGAAATGTAGTATCTCTGCGCGGCCATGTAACATCCTCTATTTAACTAACTTTCCTAGCCATACCTCAAGCAATATGAATTCTCGATAAGCTCTTCTTATCGTAGTTAAGTGTATATACGAGTAATTAAAGTGGGAAGTAGTTAAATTCTTCAGATACAATATTTATTACCTTAGATCAAAGAATTGAGTACAATGTGAGGAAACTTGGATGTGTTCAACCGTCATTAACTATGTACATCAAGCACTAACACAGCATGTAAGAGAACAATGGGACATTTATAGTACTGAATCTCTTTCACCCACTTACTTTGATTTTTTTATTATTCAAATCGAGACGTAGATTGTACACTATTTCAAATGAGCTAAAATTGATCAAGTAGTTTATATAACAGTCTGGTTATATGCACATCTGGTGTATGACTTGATAGAAACAATGTGATTGAATGGTGCTTTTCGCACGTTCTTAGTGGAAATTCAAGGGTGATTTGTACTATCCAGCTCTTAGGTGTCGAAAGGAAACGCGATGGCTTCCCCTTGGATACCGATACATACATACATACATAAATATATACATACATATACTTCATTTATGCTCGAAATTCACAGTGTAGCTGTAGAGCTTATATCTTCGAGAAAATAAGCTAAAATGAAATAAAGATATGCTATATTACAATGCCAATATTATTTAAAAACTATATACAACATTATGCATGCAGAGGGAAATATAACTTATAACCGATGAGGAAACTATTTGTTGTTGTACTTTCAAATGCGTTCGCTCACGATGCAAAACTTGTTCTTTCATTCATAACGTAGATAGAATATCGGGACCCAAGAGATCCATTAAGATCATTGATCACTTTACGTGTACCTCCGCCAATGTTATTCGCTGCATAACTTGCACTTATTGCAATAAGTTATACATCGGCGAAGCAGGAAGACGACTAAGTGACCGATTCCGAGAACACCTTCGCGACGTGGAAAGAAATGACAAGGACGCACCCAAACCACTTGCTATACACTTCATGATCTTCCTAATCATTCTGAACAGCATATGGCAGTTTGCGGCCTCTCCTTACATCTAGGCAGTTTGGAAAGCCGTAAAACACTAGAACAAAATTTTATCTTCCAAATCGGCACCCTTAACCCCCACGGAATCAACGAGCGCTTTTCATTCAACTAATTTATTCCTGTTTGCTTGTCACCATATTCCCACCAATGGCGTAGCTCCACTTTCTGTACCCACACACATCCCACAATTCCTTCAATCGCTCTAACGAAGGGCTAACGCTCGAAACGTCAGCTTTTTAACCCTTTACGGTGGCTAATTTACGTTTTCAACTCAGTTGTTAACACTAAATTACCTGCTATACCGATACATACATACATAAATATATACATACATATACTTCATTTATGCTCGAAATTCACAGTGTAGCTGTAGAGCTAATATCTTCGAGAAAATAAGCTAAAATGAAATAAACATATGCTTCATTACAATGCCAATATTATTTAAAACTATATACAACATAACGCATGCAGAGGTAAATATAACTTATAACCGATGAGGAAACTATTTGATAAACGATAAGAAGGACGC